ATATATAATTGGAAAGGCTATTGAATCGATAACTATTCACTGATAACTACTGCACATTTATTCTTATTATGAAAAAAAAACACCCCAAAAAAACACCCCAAACAAACAACAACATTGGTCCCTGTTCAAGTATAGTAAGTACATTTTGTATAGGCAACACGTCTGAGAAAATTATCAAGGACGCTGCGGACACTGTGTCAATCAGCTGGCCAAAGGTTAAGTTTGGTTCGGCATAATTATTATTTTGAACCCACATACACGGATCTTAAGCGCGAATTTGCGTGAGTGTTCTTGCCTGCTAGCATGCTTTTTAAAGTTTTAGATGAAGGCAATAGAATTTTATAAATTTGTGTGAATAAAGAAGTAGTTGTGCTTCTTTTCAAAGGCCCCAAATCGTGCGTTTTCAAGTGTCGTGGAATAACCAAGAATGTGTGTTTTCGGTGAGTTCAACGTTTAACTGAAGGGATTTTCGCCCTTGTTCATTGCTGTAAACTAATCCGGGTTGCCAGTTCTAGGCAGCGTGGTGGAATCAGGCTCTCGTCAAAATAATCAAAGTGAAGAAACTGGCATTTTTCTGCAGGTTCCTAAATTTTTATCAAAATTTTGTTTTTTGGCTCAACAACTTTCATGCCCATTAAAAAACTCATTTTTGCGAGGATTTTTCTTTAAAACGTTGATTAAAGGCCCCAAAATTTAAATTTTTCAGTTACCACGTACTTTTAAGCTAAAGAAATAACTAATCTTCGGCAGGTTTTTCTCACTAATTTTACCTCTGAAAATAGATGACCCCCACCTCCTTCATTCGCAAATATCTCGACTTATATTCAAGATTAAGGGATATTTTTTTCCTCCAAATAAAGACAAGTGAACAACCTTTCAGATGATACCAATAACTCTACATGCTCAAAAATTGACGAGAGCCTGATTCCACCATGCTGTCTCACATATTATATGTAGGGTCGTGCGTCAGCTTAGTTGAAACCATGTTGGACCATGGTGTTAATATATTTGGTTCGAACCCCCAACAGGACAGAACATTCTTGAACTCAAGTTATTTTTGAAAGTTTTCAAGTCTCTCCGCCCACTTAGTTTGATCTTGTCAGAGGTGGGCGTTAAAGTATGATGTCCCGCCTCTTTAATAACTTTTCAAAGTTCAAAGGGGCGGAGCACTCATACATCTGCCAAGAATCCTCGCGATCAGTGGCAATGATATTTTCATCAACTGGCTTTCGGTCGATGTGGACAAAAAAAATTTTTTAATAACAAAAAACAAACAAACAACCCCCCCCCCCAATAATTGTATTCTTATGAATCAATCAATAGCAAAGATCTTGCTTTTGGTCGATGGCTGACAAAAAACAAAAAACAAACCTGTAAACAAAACGAAAAAAACTCCAAAAAAAAACAAAACACAAAAAACAAAACACAAACAAATAAATTATCCCAATAACTGTATTTTTGCTTACGAAGCATGACGTGGCCTCGACCACAGCTGCTGCTCGTATTGGAATGGTGCAAAACAAATTAAACAAGCATCCGGAAGTTATTAACTATTGTCAATACAGACATACTGGCGTCCTTCGTGTAATGATTAAGCTCTTTGTACTGATGGTAACAGACGTAAGGTTAATTCCCGCATTAGTGAGTGTTATTTACAGTATATTTCCCAGTGACAATACACACACGCCGGGG